TTTTTTTTAAAAAAAAAGGTATCAAGCTCTTAAAAAATCACCCGTTAAAAGCTATCTTTTTTGTTAATTTTTGGTCATGACTTTATACCAACATAAGCATTTACACTGTATGAAAACTATGTAAATTAAAATCGGCTTTTTCTGTTTTTTCTTAATTTCAAACTAAGCGACCAGTTTTTTTTCAAACTGCAATTTTTCGAATAACACGAAAACCGGTTTTGGGAAAAATGCGAATAATCGAACACCCTAGTATTTATTTTACGAAGTCAGCCATGAGTTTGCAAAATTTGTAATAATTATGCACTAGTATTATATAGTTTTTTTTTTTATCGAGCTTTTGATTAGAGCTTCCATAACTGCACGAGATCAAAATACTAAAACAGGGTGTAACGATAGAAAGTATCTTACATTTAGCTATTGAATCAAAGTTCAAATTTCATTTGCGCAATTTTTCTATGTACAACTCTATTTTAGATTTTTAGTGCTGAGAAAGTTATTCAAGTGAACAATCTTATTATCTAACGAATAAATATGTACCAGATTTCTAGTCATCAGTTAAATTTCCAGAGAATCGACAGTACTACAATAAATTAGGATCGAAAAATATTAATATAACAATTTTTTCGCGACGAATTCACAACCGCCTGGGACCCAGAACTTAAGTTTAATATTCCGGCTATACAGTATTCAAAAAGTAAGACCATGCAAAAAGTCGTCAGATGTTCGCAATTTGAAATTAAGATAAAAATTAACTAAACATTTTTTTCGTTATTATTTAAATCTCTACCGCAATTTCTATTATGGTTAGAATTTGAGCAAAACTCTTTGTTTTATTTTTTTTTTTTTTACAAATCATAAACAAACTTTCAGCAACACCCTTTATTTGCTGGCGGGAGAGCTTTCAACTATTTCAATTTCTATTTAGATTTGTTATGCCAAAAGACTGGTTCTCAGTTTCTCGCCTTTATTTAGCGATTGCGCACATATTTAGTTATTATAAATTTGACGATATTCTGCCGAGTCTCGTACATCGCGTATATACATACGTACTACTTACCTTTGCTAAAATCAGTCATTCATAAGTGCTTGATTTGTGATTTGTTTTATTTTGCGAAAATTTTATGCTATCAATAATTATCAACGAATCGCAAAAATGCTAGCAAAAAAATTCAGCTTCTCGATTGCTGGTGGACCCAAGTACTCAAAATGCGCTTTGAATCAGCTGTTCATGCGTCAACTATCGACTAGTTTGCCCTGCTCACAAAGTGTAAGTGTATACTTTCTAACGTACATACATATTGTTTACTAAATATTGAAGACTATATGTATACATATCTACATACATGTTATGTAGTACCCAGCAGCAAAGCGAATTAGGCAATTGGTTGCAGAACTTTTCACCTCATTATGAATTTTATGAAGGGGTTCCCGTTTGGAATGCTCAGTGAAAATAAGTTAATTAACATCCAAACTCCACAATTATAATTATAAATTGGGGGCTTATATTCAAACTCTTCTACATATATGGAATTTTCGCAGAAAAAATCTTTCTTTCATATGGAAAACGCTCATCCTTTCAGATAATTCTGGATCATTTCGAATCAAAATATGATGAGCCTCGCACGGATCCTGAATGGCTGAATGCCAAAGATTACATGGATATTCCTGGACCAAGTACATTTGAAATTCTTAAAGCCTTTATGCCTGGAGGTAAAAGATGCAAAGATGCAAAATTCATCAAATAGACATTTTGTACTTAAATCCATTTTTAATTTCATATAAATTTCTATGCGCCTTCGTATTTTCACAGGTAGATTATATAATGCTAATGTCATAGCGATTGAAGAATTTTTTCGGGAACAATATGGTGATATTGTACGCCTAAAAGGTACTTTGGGCAAAGCAGATACGGTATTCACATTTAATCCAGCAGATTTTGAGGTAACCTACAGAAATGAAGGACCATGGCCGGTTAGAATTGGGCTAGAGAGTTTTGCGCATTATCGCATGAATGTACGTCCAGAAATTTTTCAAGGTGTTGCCGGATTGGTTACCTCGTAAGTTTGATAATTAAGTAACAAAAAAAAAATATATACATATACTTATACATACATATGTAAATATGTGCATATATTTTTACTAAAACATATAGATGGACCCCTGAAATAACGACATAACTCAAAACTAAAAAAAAAACAAGATCCTTACTAATCTAAGGGGCCACATGTATGTATGTATCTAATTTTTGTCTAATCTTTTCTACTTATTTTAGTAAGAATTAGGCATGGATCAGTAATAAGGAGTTTTTTTTTAGTTTTGAGTTGTGTCGTTTTTTCAGAGGACGATACACATGTACTATATGCAATCCTATAAGTAAATAATCGAATAATATTTTTAAAGTCAAGGCAGGTCATGGGGTGAAATACGCAATAAAGTTAATCCAGTGATGATGAAGGTTCAGAATATCAGACAGAACTTGCCAGCCATCGATGAAATCGCACAGGAGTTCTTAACAAGGTAATCTAATGACTTAGTGTTCTCTGCTTATTTTAAACATTCATTTAGTCAATTAAGAAAGTCGCGGTAAATTTGTTTATTATAATACGGGTACAATATTTAGTAGGGTTAAAAGTACACCAGCTAAAAAAGGAACAGTGTGTTATAAAGTATTTATTTACGAAAAGAGTTGTTTGTGAATTCTACGCGCGACTGGCATGAAACTTTTTTATGCACAATAATGAACATTTATTTATCTCAATCTCAACCCCCATTTTCTGTCTTAGTCTGAATGTGAATATTAATCTTAATCGTAATCTAAATCTTAACCTTGATCTTAGTCTTAATCCTTATCGAAATCGTAATTTTAAACTTAATCTTAATCTTAATCTGAATCTAAGTCTTAAGCCTGATCTTAGTTTTAATCTAAGTCTAAATCCTGATCTTAGTTTAATCTCAACCTTAATTTACTTAAAAAATAATGGAGAAATTCCATCACGTTGATTTTCCGAGAAAATTTGCTTCTAATTTTCTTTAAATTAAAAAAAAAATATACATCTTTTTAAAACATTAAAAACTGGCAAGAAAATAAAAAAAAAATAAATTAAATTAAAATAAAGTAACAATGAATAAATACACCTACTTTAATAATATCTATCCACTTAAAAATTAAAGAAAAATAAACAAAAAAAAATTAAAACCAAATTAAATTAATAAAGGAAAAATAAATTAAATTAAACAGAAATAAACAAATTAGTACCTAAAAATTTTAAGGTAAAAAGTGTTTCTCTCTCTTAAACAATAAACTTTACAAATTACAAGTAAATTAAAATAAAAGAAGAAATAAAGGTATTTAAAAAAGAAATAAATAAAATAAGTTTCTTAAAATTTAATTAGACTAAAACAAATATTTTACTTTTTTAAAAAAATATATTTTAAAAATATAATATTAAGTTCTAAAAAAAGGTAAGTGCTAAAACTCTAAATATTTAAAGAAAATTAAAATAAGAAAACAATTTTATAATTAAAGAAGAAAAATACATAAAATAAGTCTTTAAAATTTAATTAAACAAAAAAAATTAAGGTAACAGGGCAATTCTGACAACTGTCTTTCAACCAACCACAGTCTTTCTTTTCTTTAGAACAATAAAATCTAAAAATTAAATTAGAAAAGGAAACAAAATCGAAAAAGAAGAAAAAAAATAAAATTTTAATTTCTAAAGCGAAATCGAAAATATAAAAGAAAATTAATTTAAGATTCTATAAAAAGTTTCTAAAGATTAAATTAAATAAAAAAAAAATATTTTTCTTTTAAACAATGAATTTCCACACGTTTTTCTGATTTACTTAGTCTTGAAGAGTGTTGTTTAAAAAAAAACATTTAATTTAAACTAATTAATTTTTGTATTTTACGCGAAATTTTTTAAAAATCCTATATAAATAAACTATGTAAATGTCATCACGTCTCGCATTATTCCTTATAAAAAAATAATAATCAGTTTGAGTAGGTATTAGGTATTTAGCTACGAAAAAGTTTATAAAAAAAATCCATCACGTAGAGTTTTTGAGGAAGCATTAGCTAAGAAGCATCTTTAACTAGCGCTGTTGTTTTGTTAAGTAAATGTTAAATTTTTGTTTCATGAAAATTTTTAAAAGTTTGCCGTTGAAATTAATTTTCTAATTTTTCTGAGTATTACCGCTTTTTACTGAGGTTAGCTATGGATTTCCAAAAGACTTTTTCATTTAATTAGTTTTTTTAGGGGCATCTTTAACTAATACTGTTTTTGTTAAGTAAATATTTAAATTTCCTTTTCATGAAAATTTTTAAACATTCTAAAATATGCATGGCATAAATACACATAAATAAATTTCTTTATGCTAGAACAAACAACGCTGTTTTTGGGATGGGGAAAAACAATGTTAAATATACACTGCCGGAAAAAAGTATTGGCACATAGAATTTTTCACAATATATAAAACAATTTTTATTCTAATCCTTTTCCGCAAACTTTTAAAAAAATATCGTTTATTCCCAGAAGAAAAACACATAAAAATATAAGTTCTAAAGTTTGTGCAAAATTTGCGAAAATTCAATAAATCAGATTTTTTGGAATTCCTTCGAGTATGCGGTTTTGTATCCTATTAAATTCTAGCTGCAAAAAGTTAAAGCTAAGTTAGTAAAAAATACAAAGTATTTTCGAAATCTTTTTTTTTTTTTAATGGAAGCAACTGCGTGAAAAAATTGCCAAAAATTATCTGAGCCAATACTTTTTTCGGCAGTGTATATAAAAATAAAAATATTTTATTTACAGAGAAAAGCATGAATACAAAAAAAAATAAAGAAATTACCACTCGCTTATTTCCGCATACAATTTGACCACCCATAGATTTGATACACTGATCGATCCCAGCACAGGCAGACTGACCGCTGATTTAACAGAGGAAATAAAAATGTGGGCTTTGGAGTCTGTCGCCTTGGTAGCGCTCAACACACGTATGGGACTCTTCTCCAGGCATCAAGTGGATGCAAAAGCTCAAAAGCTTGTCGACAATATGACGGTGTTCCTCAATATGGCCTATCATTACGACGTTTCGCCGTCCTTTTGGAGATACTTTGAGACACCAGGTTTCAAGAAACTCATAAAAGCCCTTGACAACATTACCGAAGTAACAACAGATTACATCGAAAAAGCAATGGCGAAGTTTGCAAGCGAGCAAAATGTCGAAGGAAAGAGTGTGTTGGAAAAGCTTTATCGTATAGATAAAAAGGTGGCGATGGTTATGGCTATGGATATGCTGATGGCTGGCATGGATACGGTAAAACAAATAAATTTAAAGAACAAATAACATGACATTACATATTTTTTCTTGCCAACTTCTACAATACTTGCAGACTTCGTCGGCCTTCATTTCTACACTCTACTTGCTTAGTACGAACCCTGAAAAGCAAGAAGCATTACGGAAAGAACTGCTTACACTGCTGCCACAAGAAAATGCACCACTCACCCAGGAAAATACCAAAAACTTGCCTTATTTGCGGGCGTGTATCAAGGAAGCGCTGCGCTTTAAACCTATCGCCACTGCGAATTTCCGCTTCTCAGGCCATGATCTTGTATTGTCGGGCTATCGAGTTCCCAAAGGTGTGGGTGTATTTATGGCGAATATGTCGCTCTGTAATAGCGAAGAGTATTTTGAGAGAAACAAAGAATTTTTGCCAGAGCGTTGGCTTAAATCTCAAAGCTCTAGCTGTCCAATTACAAAGAAAAATAATCCTTTCGTTTATTTGCCATTTGGCTTTGGACCACGCACCTGTATTGGTAAACGTCTTGCTGAGATGGAGCTTGAAACCTTACTGACAAGGCTGTTTCGCAATTATCGCGTGACTTGGGAGAGCGAGAAGCCATTAGAGTATAAAAGTAATATAGTTCTAATGCCATGCGGCGAGATGCATTTCAAATTTGAAAGATTATAAGATTATATGTTATATTTGTAAATTATACACGAGTATTAAAACTGTTTGTAAATGGTGGAATTTAAATTACAAAAAAATTTTTGTATTAGCTATTTTTATAAAACCAAGTTTTTGGTTGATTTTTTCTTAGTGTAGCCGTACTTGCCATGGTACAATGATAAGTTCACTTATGTTGATTCTTATGTAATTAGATCATTGGGCAAGTAAAACAACTAATGTTAATATCACAACAAAATTAAAAAAGTGGCATTCTGGAAAATGCGGAGGGACAATATTACGATAGAAAGTCGCGCTTATACTGATGAAATTTTTCAGGAAAAAATATAATAAAACAATAATAGTTATGTTAGTCATGACAAACACTAACGATTTATTTCATTGTTTTTTTGGATCTAACTTTTTCATGTTTATTATCGAATAACCTGAGCGGGCACAAACATTTTTTATGGAGCAGGTAAAATATCTCAAAGAAATACCGTTCACAAAAGAAAAATAAATAATGGAAAACAGCTTTGTTGGTGGTTCATTATTGGGATCGTAGAATACAGTTTCTGATTTATTGTTTTTACCAACTTAAAATAATTTAAAAAGGAGGGACAAAAAAATGGAACTTTGTGTGAAAATGACCTGTATAGATTTTTTGTGAATTCGCCTTCGTATTGTAAGCTTTAGGAGAAGCTGCAAACAAAGACCCCCTCCCCTCCCTTCCCCTCCTCATCCACCTGGCTACGCCCTTGGTCTCTAGAGATGCATAAATATTTAATACCAAAAATGTGTTCTCCAAATCCGAATTGGTACAGCTGTATCAAGGATGTCACAGAAGGGTTAAAGTAATAAGATTATCCGCCATGCAACACCCACGTCTAAAATTCGCTTCAGATTTATTCACCGGATTTCAGGTATTTGGACAAATCGAATTGTGGTCCAATTCGGTTATTAGTTAGCATTTGTATTAGTTACATAAAAGGCACTGCCATATAATTGGCAATGAAATTATAGGTACATACATATCGCTAGCTTAGAGTGAAAAGTTGCTAAGTCCACTTTTTATGAAAACTCATATTTTGATATAGGAGGCTACAGAAATTGAATACGCATCGTTGCGAAAATTATAAAGGTACTTGTTTTATTTTTTCCTCTCCATAGGCAATAAAAGGAAAATCTGCTAAGTCCAAGGAAGCACCACAAATCCGATAAGGCCAAAATAATACGACATCTTTTAATAAATATCGAATCCTTCTGATTCTTATGGAGTTTTGCTTTGCTTTAAACGCGCAAAATGTTTGATTCAAAGTCTTGCGAAATAGTTAAAGAAAATGGCTATAGGAAGATTTTTTCCTCTCCAGTAAATTTTTTAAAATGGGACTTAGCAACTTTTCTTTCTAAGCTAGCGATATGTATATTCCGTATAATTAAGAATGGTTTTTGTAGCACTCTTATAGCTGATCAAAATATAAAACTTTTAAGCCTACCGGAACTCAGGAGTATATTACGGAATTACATATAATCGTATCATGTCAAATTTATCAACACCAACTGTGACAGCAAGTATCTAATTTTCAATTCAAAAATTTCCATACCTTTGTGTTTATGTCATTTTATTAAATTTTATACGAAATAAAAATACATTAATAAATATAATACAGCCTCATGAAAAACAAATCCCACGGGTCTGCTAAATCTAGTTGGGTTGTATGACTTAATTTTCCCACATCATATTACACCTGCATTTGTGTCAAGTTCAATGTCAAGGGAAATAAACCAACATGAACTTAATATAAAGGAAGTTAATTCTTACATACAAATATACATATGTATGTATATTGTTCATGCGTCTTATATATTTATTAAACCACAAATCAAAAAAACGACCAAAGAAAAAAGAATATGGAATGAAAATATTGCAATACATTGTAACATATGTGTGTATTTATAAGTATAAAAATAAAAAAATATGTGAGTAGTTTTGTAGCATGTGAAAATATGTGGATATAAATATAATAATACTCCAGCCGACCTTATGCACCAAGAAATAGCAAAAAAAACACACCCACAGCAGCTCGTTAAGTCACTTTATAGCATAATTTTCTCAGCTATCTAGTTATTTTGACAGCTTGGCGGCTTCCGCATTTCATTGCGACGCACTTTTCCGCTATTCAGCAAAGTTTTATTCTCACACGCGCAAGAAAAAAAGAAACTTATCAAAATCACCAAACAAGTGATAAATGACTGCCTGAGGTTTCACACGCTGTCTGCTTCGCTCTAGCCTGGTCGTCTTTTGAGCTGCTCCTTTCCCCCGACTATTTCATCCAAACCTACATAAATTTAATTCAACTCCCACACATATGTATGTATGTATGTATGTATGTATGTATGTACTTAATCATTTCAATCCATTCCGGCGCACAATACTAAATATAGAGGAAATTCAATTTTAATTTGAATTGACTCACCATTTCTTTATCCTCTTGACTGCGCGGCCAAAGTGTTAGATTTATGAGTATTTCACCCATTTGTCGCTCTGGGTGATTTATGTCATGCAATGGCAGACAGACATCTTCTGCTTTACCCAATTCCAGTTGGGTTAAATCGATTTGCGCTGAACCCATAAAATCATCCTGCAATCCCCAATCGTAATCGAATACCTGCAGAGTTTTAGAATGACAAATTGAATTGATAATTAAAGTGATAATAATTTCAGTGATATTTATTAGCATGACAGCATGAATTATGGTTGGTGTTAGTGTATACCTATGCATATTAATTTGATGAGATAATATTTCTAGTTAAATGTACATATAAGCTCTTAAATCATTTCTTTCCAAAAAAAAAATAAATTTGCGTGAATGAATTTTGTTAATGGCTTTGTCACAAACGTAATCAAATATCAGAAATACAAGATTGTGATAAATTCAGGTAAACGGTGTAAAATGCAAGCATTAAATACTCGAGTCCATTCAAACTGAAGATAACTGAGTGAGTGCCATTTATGCTATTTGATCAGCGCCAATGCGGAATTTTAAAGAAACGACCAGGCGGGCTATGTTTTATAGAAGAGCTTCAGAATCTAACTACCGCGCCACTTATACACATCCCCGATGAGGCGGTGGTTAAGCTAATGTCTGCGATATTTTTGTTTTGAATTTTTTTCAGTTTTTTTTTAGTTTCGTGCAGAGACCGAGAACGCGCTCCAGTTTTGGTTGAGTTCTGCATGAGAACAAAAGGTAATTTCAAGAATGTTCCCCCAAAAGGACCAGAACGGAACAAAAGTGTTGAGAGCTGAGAACGTTTCCGCAAAAAACAAACTTTAAAAATAGGAGAACAGAATGAAAACGAAACTTTCGGAAACGTTTCCAATGATAACAAAATTAAACGAAAGTATCGAAAACGTTTTCAAGGAGGATCAATTAAGAACAACAGTCTGCGGAACGTTCTGTCAGAAAACAAAACGAGAACCAAAGGTTTTGAGAAGTTAACGATAACAATGACAGCGGCGACTGCGTACTGGGATGAAAAATCGTTTAAGTGACAACCACGATTATTAATTCTAAGCCTAACCGGATCATTTCAACTTCCAGATCGTTTATCATTAGGGTGAACTGTTCATATATGGGACAATGTTTAATTTTCTGTGCAAGAAAAAATCGTGTCTTAAGACTTTCATTGATTTAATTTGCATAATTATTTTTCAGTTAGTTTTTGATTAATTTTAATATTCAAACATTTCAAACTAATAATAGCTATTTGAAATATTTTGTTCTCGCTTTGATTCCTCACAAAAAATTCAGAGAAGATTTATTGCCGTTTCGTTCTGTGTTAGAAAGTTTCTGATACTTTAGTTCCCAAATTGCTATTCGCGAGAAAGTTTCATAGACATTTGTTCCCGTTTAGTTCTTTTCCAATAAGTTTTGGAGACTTTTGTTCTCTTAGAAATGTTACCGAAAGTATTTTGTGCAATTTGTTCTTTTTGGGAACTTTCCACAAGTTTCTTTTCTTATATAATTCACATTGAGAACGTTTTCGACATTTTTGTTCTTGGTTTCTTGCGTAGTGCTGATGGTTTCATTATGGAAACAAGCAATTTTTATGGCCGCACGTAGGGATCGCCCTTTAACATTTTTGGCCATATCTTTGCATTTGTAGTCGGATTGATATCTTTTCCGAAGTAGACACCTTTTTGGCCAAAATTCATAGACCTTAAGTACCGCGTTCAAGTATCTTATGAACTAGATCTCAGTTCCTTACCACCCTAACGAAGTGTTTGATTCCACAGGAATCGGATCCTAAAATATGACAAGTCGATATTTTGGTTTCGAGGAGACAATTTTTTCCCACAAAAGTTCATTGACCTCAAATACCCCGTTACATTACTTATCCACGCGATCTCAATACTTATCGTTTTAGCATGCCACCTTAATGTCAGTAAATTAAAGCTCTCAAACATCATAAAACTTTTTGCTAAGAAAGTTTTTACAAGCTTTCATTTAACTTTCTCGGTATGTATGTATGTATGTTTTTTAGGGTTAAATTTTGCAATACATTTTTAACTAACTTCCCGAAGATCTAGTGACTTCAAAGTTTACAGTTGGCTAAGAACCCGATGACAATGAAATAAGAAAGATTATACTAATCCGATAGGTGGTGCAGGAGTTGAGATATTTTTTTACTATTAATACTATTAACTGATTTGATTATTACAGTAGAGCTATTTGAAGAATCTTTATTACTACCGAAAAAATTTAAAAAGGCGGCCATCATTTTTTCCGAAATTGTCTTGTAAAAATACTTTAGACTCAGTGGTGTAGGTACGGCGAACTTTTTTTGTTTGTTTGTTAGGTGGTACGGTGTAATGTGCCTGCATTTATTTTTACTTGTACCGCCAATAAAATTCATTATTATTCTATTGTTGCCGCTCACATTTTTTTGAGTAACAAGAAAATTATTGCTCGTCTTATTGGATTGCAAAAAAAAAAAAAAATTTTGTTTTCGCTTGGTTTGGGCAAGAAAACCACTTCGGATAGGAATTCAGAAGAATCTTCGAGTTTTTAGCGTCTCAGAAGTTTTTTAAAGGCTACGACAGTAGTGTTGCTAGGAACCTCTTTTGGAGCTCCTGATTTCTTTTTTTTGGCTGCGTTTCTTTATACATTCCGGATAATCCCATTTCACAGCCGGAATAAACAGAATGCGTTTGAAATATACGTCAACATATCCACCGGAACGTTCTAAAGAATAAATAAACAGAAAAGTTTATTCCAAACGTTCAGAATGAATAAAGAAATTCAGCCTTTATATAAAGTCCATTCAATATCAAAAAATTTTTACGAATTATTACTAGTAATTGCAATTTTTTTTCTGGAAATGCATTC